AAAAAAACGAAGATGTCATATGAATTGAGATTCAAATAGATTGCACATCGACCGGGCTTTATTTTCTTTTTTTTTTTGTTTTGTTTTCAATGACAATAGAAAACCAAATAGGTCTTTTTCTCTGATTACATATGCTGTTCAGGTGATGATGGATCTGGTGGAGAATAATCTTGATGTGATATTGGTGCTAATGGAGGATAAAAATGTTGCTGAGATGATATAGGTTCAGGTTTCATATAAGAATATGGATGATTACCACTATAACCATATTGAACAGGTGGTGGAGGTGTTTGAGGACTTGTACTTGATGGTGGACCATAATGATACATAGGTGGTGGAGGTGGAAATGGATGTGTATAAAGTGTATTTGGATCTGTCATTGAATATGATGAATTACAATCAGTTAAATATGGTGATGATGATGATGTTGATGCAACAACATTTGTTGGTAATCCCCAACTTGTACCACGTGGTGGTAATGATTGTACTGATGAAAGATTTGATGTTGAAGAATTTAAATGATGTTGTTGGTGTTGTTGTTGTTGTTGTTGTTGTTGTTGATGATGATGAAGATGATTTGATTTATCTTTTTTTTGATGTGAATGATGATTATTCATCATTGTTGTTGAATTATGATTATTTGATAATGATGTTGATGTTGTTGTTTGTAAATTTTTTGTTTTACGTCTTGGTCGATATTTATAATCAGGATGTTCTTTCATATGAATTGCACGTAAACGTTTAGCTTCATCAATAAATGGTCGTTTATCATCTTCATTTAAATTTTTCCATTCAGCACCTAAACATTTACTTATTTCAGAATTATGCATTTTAGGATTTTCTTGTGCCATTTTACGTCGTTGTCCACGTGACCATACCATAAATGCATTCATTGGTCGTTTAACACGATCATCAAGAGTTTTTTTTGATGATGATGATGATGAATTATGATGATGTTGATGTTGATGATGATGATGATTTGTTGATATAGAATTTGGTGTTAATGCTGATGATGATGTTGGTGGTGTTGTACCACCAGGTGATGATGATAATGGAGATGATGGATCATCTTTTGATGAATTTGAATTAGGTCCATTAATACCATTTGTATATTGTGATGGAGGAATTTGTAAATGATGTTGCATCATTAAATGTGTATGTGAATGATGTGGATTCATCATCCAATTAGTTGATGGTGGTGGTGGTGGTAATGATGGTTGTGTAGTTGATGGAGGTTGTATTGATGGATCATAAATATTTCCATGATGATGATAAGGTAAATGATGATGTGGATAATGAGATGTATTAAATGGTAACTCGGAATTCGAGTCCATATTATATAAAGATACCATAACTAAAATAATAAATAAAATTTCCAAAACAAATATAAATATAACATACTTTTAAATAGAATTTTAAATAATCAAAACACTTAACATTCCATTGGTTAATGACTGAAGAAAAAAAATATGATATTATTATCATAATGAATTATTATTATTATTATCTGTAGTAGACAAATGTCATTCTCAATTGTATTATGTGTATATAACAATTACACACACATCCAATTCATTCTTTGATTCATTCTTCTTTTTTTTTTTTTTTTTGTTTTGTGTTTTTTTTTTTTTTTTCTTTTTCTTCTCTCTTTTTGTTTTCTCTATTGTTATAGAATAAAAGGAAGAACTTTACCTGGTGTATATGTGTTTGTTAATAAGAAGAAACCGTCATGTTGATGAGATGAATTCAATTCAATACAATACAATCGGATCGATATTCAATGTGCCTGACGCCGACGCTTACTCCGGTTTTTTTTCTCTTCTCTCTCTCTCCCTCTCTCTCGTTTTCTCTACGGATGGAAGCACAAAAGAGGAGAGAAATTTTTTTTTTTTTTTTTGAGAGAGAGAGAAATATAAGCACTGGATTCGTATAATATCCTCTTTCAATAGCAGCACATGGCTTGCCGTGTGTTATTCGAAAGGTGTGAGTGTGTGTATTGTTCTCTCTCTTCTACTCTCGTTCTCCGCTAATAATAGCAGTCGGGTCAGGTAATATTCAAGCAAACGACCGCTTTCGTTCGTTTCCCCGTTTTGGCAGAACGCAACAGAAAGAAAACGAGACAAGAATTCTTTTTTTCTCTCTCGTTTACTCCGCCAATACGCTGCCATCCGATATAAATGTTATTTCGATTGGCGTATAAGACCTAAAATACAACCAATCATTTATATAGATAAGAAAGGAAAAAGAAAAAAAAAAAAAGAAATTCATTAGAATATTTTATTGTTTGCTGTTGTTACAATTGACATGATTGTAAATGCATCCCATAGAAAATTGTAAACAAACATTACAAAAGAACATATAAATGAAAAAAGAAAAACGAAAATGTCAAGAAATAAATTTGTTTGTTTGTCTTTCAATCTAAAAAAAAAAAAAAAACAAAACTAATTTTCTATTTCGACTTATCATACAGATTAAGAAAATATTTTTATCCCGACTTATAATAGTATTGCAATGAAATATTAATAATAACAACATATTTTGTCTAATCTCTTCTAACACTTTTTTTTCTCAAAACTATTTGCCTTATAGCTAGAAAGATAAGAAAACAGCAATTATACTGATATAATATCAACGATTAAATGTTCATCATATCAAGTGATAACATTACGGAATGTTAAACTGCATTTGTCACCTAAATTAAAGTATAATTATATATGAAGTTATTTGAGAAAAGAGTGCGAGAGATATGACACATAGATTTTTTTTTTTTTGTTGTTGAATTCGTAATCTTTTTCACGTGCATACACTCGAAATATTCTGCTCAATAATTACAGCTTTACTTCCTCTTGTCATCGTGTTGAGTTACACAGCATGTTATTTCAGAGAATCTTATTTCGTTCGATGATAATTAATTAATTGAATAATCCATAATTGAGTTTGAACGTGACATACGATCATTCCTTTTTTTTTTTTACTGAGCTTGAAAACTAGCTAAACTTCTGTTTCGGTAACAGATGGCTACGATCATCATTATCATCATCATCATCATTATTCGTTTCATATGTACATATTGACCCCGCCTATATCTCTTTCACTTTTACGAATTGATTTTTAATGTAAGAATACTTATTTCTTTTTTTTCTTGAGTAGCTATCGGGCAGCAACTGTGTTACACCTTCCGAGAACATATATCAAGGCACCAGCAGCATTTCCGTTTGTTTCTTTTTTTTTTGCCTTAATCGAATACAAACCCAAAAATTAACAAAAAAAAAAATGTTCGATATTCTAGTCATTAAGATACAGTATACCTTTTTGCTCATTCAAGTATATTTGCCTTCTATTATTCGTGATTCTATTTACTTAATTTCTCTTTCGAGTATGTTTGTAGACTAAGAATCATGCATTTTTATTTTACTTGTATTCAAACTAAATAAATATGAATACTACCTGAATACTTAGAAAGAATAATCTACGCTAACAGATTATTCACTATTATTAATCATGACCGATAGAATTGCTTGATTTAATTTTCACATTGTTATTTTTGATTGATCTTTCCCTATGGTGTAAAAGAAAGAAAGAAAAAAAAAAGGTGCTAGGTCCGCCTTTAATTTATAACCTTTTTTCAGTTCAATATGGAACAATACAAAAAAAAAATAATATTGATATATATATTTATTAAATGAATAAAATAGTCAACAAAATATAACTTTTTTTTTTTTCTTCTTCTTTTGTTTTGAATTAAACGGATGCTGATAAGCATCCGGTGATATGTGTCAAATAAGCAATGTGAAAGGAAATTGCACATATATACTGTTGTCTACGAAACGTGTGCTACGTAAGAAAGATCATTTTGACACTTTCTTGTCTTTCTCTTTCTCTCCTAGGTTTTTATTCCTCTTCATTACAATAATAAATAATGATCGATGTATATGTGTCATAACCTCGTTAATGTGCCCGTTGGCTGAAGAAATATAGTTGTATGCTATTTTAATAAAACAAAAAAAAAAAAAAAATTGCAAAGTAATGTTCGAACACCTTGCAATGTGTGTTCACTTAAGCGTATTTATGGGAGACAGCACCTTTAGATTTTTTTTTTATGCATATTTGATTGTGCTTGAATGAACCTGGGTATTCATTCATTCACTATGTGAAAGATATCATCCGTTTGATCCACCATTAAGAAATAGAAAACAAAAAAAGAATGAGACTATTTCCCAAGAGTAAATGGGTTGGCTCGATGTAATGAAGCGAAGCCTGAAGGCGGGATCTATGCCATTCGATTATTGACAAAGAATGTCTCTTTAGCTTTGTTATTAATTATATAGACAAGTACCTTATCCATTAAGAATATATGAATTTTAAGATCAAATAAATAACCGACAAACATTCGCAATTATTTCCTGACGACATGCAAATGAATTCTTTCGTGATATTAAACCGAATGATATTCTTTTTTTCGTTTCTTCTATGTGCGTGACTTAAACATCAATTTAAGATCTTCTATCGTCTTTTGATGAATGTCTAGGTTCTATTCTACTTCTTCGTTTGTTTTTTTTTTTTTTTTTTCTTCTCTACTATGGATTGAAACGACGATGCCAATTAAACGGACGTAGTTCGATTTCCTTCCGTTACTGTCGGTCGGAAGGTGAATGAAAGCAAAGACGAACGATAGTTCAAGTTGAGAAGAATGAATATATAAGAGAAGGATACTTCAACTGATTCTCAAGTAGCAATTTTCCCGTGTTGCTGTCCAACTCTTGACTTGTGTGCTCTTGAACAAGAGGAGAGAGGGAGAGAGAGAAAAAACCGATATCATCATTCTCAGAGAGATCAATTTTCTATCGTTCACATAACATTAAGTGTTGTTGTTGTTTGAGAGAAATGGGATCGTACATCAACATTTGTCACATTTTTTTTTTTTCGTAATGTCATAACATTCTATATATATATATATTCGCATCATTAGTTCATATGCATAGAGTGAGAATAAAAACAAAATCTAATTAGAAAATTGAATTGTTCGTGCTCATGAACATATCCCTTCGTTTTTTTTCCCAATAGAACACCGATCATCATCATCTATTGAAGAGAAAGTGAGTGAATTGCGTGACCAAGCGTTTCTCTAGTGGTTATGTTTGGGTGACAAACATAGACGATGATGCTGTCAATGAATATGTACCGATGCTCGTGATTTGATTTGATTGGGGACTCTGTGTGCGTGTCAATCGAAACAAATTGTCATCATCATCATCATCGACAGACTGGCGTATAGATTTGAAAAATGAAATAAAATTTTCGTATGTGCAAATTTTTTTTTTGTCTGTTGTTTGAAAGACGAGACGATTCTCTTTGTTCGGTGTCTGTCCGGCAAGACTCAAGTCAATATTTACTTAAAATCTTTTACTAATCCTTTATTCTATGTATGTCACGCGCTCAAGGCAAAATGAAGGTCGTCCACTTAACACATCTATGCTCATTATAAGCTTAGCAAAAGAAGCAAAAGAATTGTACAACAACATTGTTGATTGATAAACTATATTTAAATTCGTACTTATTCATGATCAATTAGATTTTCGAGTGAATAGTTTTTTTTTTTTTCTCTTCTGAAATCAATTATTTGAAAATAAAAAAAAATAAGGCTTCTGCAAATATTTCTTTGATGTTTAAGATGAAATATTAATATAGTTCAATGCTTTGATTTATTTAAATTAATATATGAATTTTGATCTTGACAATCTCTACTGACATCTAGAAAAATTATCTATCAATATATTCTGACATCTATCGTTAGATAAATATAAATTGTACTTTATTGAATATTTACATGAAAAACAATCATTACTTTCAATGTTTAACAACATTTTTTTTTTTGATTATTAATCATCTAAGTTTTGTTTTTGTTTTTATTATGTCAATATTAGTATATTTATTTGAAACTATATAGATATGTAAATCTTACCTGTAAAAAAAAACACATAACTAATTATATCATCGATACGTAGCATATTATTATTATTATGCCTATCTACACAACTAATGTTGTGTGATATTCGACGTTAAAATCAAATAGATTTTTTTTTTACATTCCATAAATTAGTTTGTTGTTGTATTTGTTATATGAAGTAAAACGATAGGGTTCAATAATACTATATTTTTTCATCGTTTTCGAAGTTATAAATGTTTCGTAGTATAAATATATATGTATGTGAATAGTATAGTACTTGTCGACACAACAGCATCCATTCAAAATATACAATATATTCAATTGAATTCACCAGTATTTGTAGTAGCAGCTTCTTTTTTTTTTTTCTCTCCGTGCTTTCAAAGCACCCACATACACACGATACAAAAGCCGCTTAGATACGGTTGATTGAAATGGCAGTTGCTCTGTCTCTTTCTCTTTTTTTTTTTTTTTTTATTTTTCTCTCTCTCTCCCCCCCTTTTTTTTTGACCCACATGAGTTGTCTTTATGTGTCGTCGTCGTTGTTGAGTATAAAGGATACTCTTCACTTCTCCTGTATGTGTCCCTTTTGTTCTTATGTCCTCTCCTTTTGAAATCAACACAACAATAACACATCCATATATTCATGAGGCAGTCAAGCAGGCGAATGAATGAATGAATGAAAAGAATGAAAAGAATGAATGAATACATGAATGAATGAATGAATGAATGAATGAAAAAAAAAAGAAGGAAGGAAGGTTGCCCTATAGGTATTCTACATAATAGTGGAAGACAAGTAAAGAAATCTTTCATCTCATCTATGCCTACCTGATCTATAAAATTGTCGAGGCATACACATACAAATCTTGCATGATGTGAAAATGATTGTTCGCTTTTGTTTTATATGTATGTGTATGTGCCTCAAGCATGACAAGAACGAAAAAAAAAAAAAAAAAAACTAGAAAAATAGTTAAAGTAAAAAAAAAAAGTAGTATAAGTTGGCAGGTCGTTCAATTCCAGTGACAAGTTTTAATTCATTTTTCATCATGACAATCTTGTCTATCGACATTCTTTTTTTTTTAATTATATAATCTTCAAAAAAGAAAAAAGAGACATGAAAATATAGCTGGCATTGTTATTTTTTATTAATTAATTCTTAAAATGTTCTATTCAAGAGAATTTCGATGATGCGTATATACTCTTTCTAACTAACATTTGATGGAAAGATACATTTGAAAATGTTTTAATAAAGTTTCATTTGTTTTAGTCAAAATATTGTAGAAATAGTGTAACATTCAATCTCTTGAGTTGATCAACCATATCTTTTTTTTTTTATTCTATTAAACACTTTATAAAGAGAAAATATTTTTTACACTGATAGTGTTTTCTAGTGCACTTGACTATTGTAAATTATTAGATTGTCACATGTTGAATCGTAATTTTGCCTACAACACATATGTGTGTTCCGAGATTATAAAGATTCATAGAAGGAAGTTTTAAATGTGTTTACAGAGATTAATCAGAGAAAGAAAACGGACCTTTACTAATTTTCATTGATTTATTTGAATACAAAAAATAAACAACTTTTTAAAAGTAAGAAAATGACTTACTGTAGTATATTTTGAAATTGATATAAAATTCGTCTATAAAAAAAAATGAACATATCTATTTTCATATTTAACTTGTTTTCATAATAATAAACAAAATATTTCTTTTTTTTTGAAAATTATCATTTTAGTTATAGAAATTCATTTTCTTAATATTTATTTAAGATTAAGAATATCTAAATGATAATTTTTGAAGAAAATAATTATAATTAACTACAAAAATATTTTAGTTCATGTCACTACAATTTATAATCTTTCACTAAATTTTCTTGTCAAAGATAATTAAAAAAAAAAATAGAAAAATGATCTTTTAGCGAAATGAAATTTACTCAGAAGAAAAAAGAAAAAGACCTGTTTTATATTACTACCTCGAACTTCATTAAATTTCTCATGTCACATCTATTTGTCAGTCTTCCTCTTCAAAATTACATTTTACCAAATAAAACATCCTTTAGTATACAAACCGATGATGAACAAAACAAAAAAAAAAGAAAAATTCATTTTGTTTCTTTTTTTGCTAACTGTCATCACCAAAGAAAAATTTATATTCTTGTCTTTCACATGAATATAACATGTTAAATAATACAATGAATTTATTTCCTTGAGTAAATAAAATACAAGCAACTAAGAAAAAAAAAAATCATATGCATATTATAAATCATATCCGAATTGCATAAAGATAAGATCCATTGTGCGCTCGTCACCAAACATATCACAAAAACAAGAAAGAAAAAAGAAAAAAAACGAAAATAAATCAACACTTGAGGAAAAAAAATATATATATGTATGTAGTTTACATGTATTGGAAGACAAAAAAGCGCACAAAAATAGAAAACAAATTCAATCAAGAAAATATGGTATCAATATGTAAATATGCACGTGGTACACGTCCTCGTTCTTTTGTATGTGGTCTTTCAATTGTTATCCAATCTGAATCATTGGAAAGTTTTTCATTATTATTATCTAGAATAATATTTACTGTCTAAAAAAATAGAAAGCAAAAAAAAAGACATAAAAAAAAATTTTTTAATTTTCTTTTTTTGTTTTATTACTTCTTTTGCTAAAACACTTAGTTCATTAGGATCTGATGCATCATAATCAAATTTAACAGTTGCAGTACGTGGTGTTTGAATAGCACGAGGTGTTGATGGAGCAGTAGATAAATTTACTGTTGATTTTGTTATACTAAATTTAACAAAAGAAATTATTTATATAGAAATAAACAAAAATAAAATATATATAAAGTTTTTTTTTTTTTGTTTTCAAATATTTACCCAAGTTGTTTACGTAAATCTTCAAGTATTTGAACAGATTGTCGATGATGTTGTAATTCAGATTCGACTAAATCATTTAAACAACGTAAATGATGATTCTAAAATGAAATTTTTATTATGAATATATATATATATATATAAGATATACATGTGAATTATTTAATCCATCAAGCATTAAACGAGTTAATTCTAATTGACGATCAAATTCAGCTTGTGCATGACGTAATTCAATATCTGAACTCTTCAAAAAATAAATAATAATAACATAAGATTAATGTTATATATATATATTTATTTGATACTTACATCTGCCATTGCCATTGTTGTACTACTATTAGTCAATTTTGACTTTTTCTTTTTAGATTTTGCAGCATCAAGATCAAGTCGTTTCATTTCTAATGTACGTCGTTCTTTCTAGATTTTATTTATTTATTTATTTTATAAAAATATTAAGAAATATATTTACTGTTAATGATTTCATTTCACCATCGAGAAAACTTTTTAATGGTTGCATAAAACTAACAGCTACCGAATGTATAAATTCTTTATGAGCAAGACCTAATTTTTGATGAAATTGACCACATTTGATCAATGCAGAACCTGAATAAAATATTCAAATTTTGACAAAAAAAAAAAAAAATTTTATTTTCTCGTACCATATTGTGTTGAAGGACCAAAATCATTTCCTGCTTCACACATACAATGACCGAGTTGTTCATAAATATTTGGTTTATTTAAAGATTTTTGATCAAGTTTTGTTAATATAAATTCTTCAAGACGTTCATCTATGAAATATATATAATATGTATTGATGAATGAGAAAAAAAAAAACTTTTTACTAATATTAGGTTGAAGAACAGTTTCAACATGTGATGTTAAACGTTCCGTCCATATTTTTGTTCGATCAGCACGTGCTAACATTTCTTCAAAGTTTTCATCATATTCAGTTCGATCAGTTGCTTGTCCGAGCTTTTCTTCAGTAAACTAAAATAAAGATTTTCTTATATAATACATATCTATGTTTTTTGTTTAAACTATCAATATAAAATATACCTGTTTGGCTCGTGAAAGTAGAGTACCCGCTGCTTTCAAGTTGAAGTTCATACTGTTTCTTCAATTCTCGTTGGTGTCTATGACTATATAGCTATGTATATATATATATGTGTGCGTGTGTTTGGGTTGCCGGAAGACGAGTAGGGAGAGCGAGCAAGCAAGCGTGCGAGCATATACACACTCTCTCACATAGATTTACTGAGTTTGACTTGTTGCTTGGCGTCTAGAGTAAGCAGAAAAAAAAGAGAAAGCTCGGAATGAAGAGAAAAAAAAAAAAGAAAAAAAACCGAAGGAATAACATTTCCAGATGTGACGGGAAGAAGAAAAACTAAAGCAGTAGTAGCAACTCGATCATTGTGTTTTACTTAAACCCGACACGACACACTGGGCGAATAGATAAAAAAAGAACGAAGAAGGAAGAGAAAATCAAGAGAACGACGAAATGATGTGGGATTTAATTTTGTTTCGTTCTATCTTATGATTACTTCTTATTTTCATACTGTTCTTCTACGTACTATTAATAAGAAAAAAAAAAAATGCAAATGAAGTGGTATTTTTGATGTTAATAGCTATTGAACGTTTATTTCAAGTGGGTTAATGCTACTATATCATAAGAAAAGTAAATAAGCAAAAGAATCAGAAAAAAAAAGTATAGGAAAAAAGACAAGCATGAATATTTGTTGAGTGATAAAAAAAATTTGTTTTCTTTTCTTTTTTCTTTTTTTTTGCAACTATTAAAGTAAAGAAATAATAGATTTTATTAATTTAATCTGAAATATTTGAACAAATAGATATTAATTATTGATATATTTTCAAGGTTCTTGTCACGTTCTAAGCTAGTACCTAAGAAGTTTTAGATTTGTAATTGGATTGCATGTCAAATGTTTCTTCAGAATTATCACTAAGTGTTTAATATTAATCTATATTTACTTAATAGAAATTGTCTGCATGAATATTAAACTCAGAAAACATCATTTCAACTTCAGTTAAGACGTTCATGTCAAACTTAGACAACATTTTGTTCTTAGAATACTTATTTGAAAGACATATAATCTAATGAGAACGGTGCAACTTTTGCTTAACATATTGCATGTTGCCTAATTCATAGAATGCATATTAATAATTTTTATATTACATACAAGCGAATAGAGTCTTTCGGATGTTGTCTACCAATGAATTCTTTGACATAAAAATCATAGATAACTAGAAGTTGTATGAATCTTTTGATAAGAACAATTTTAAGACAAAAACTTAATAATGAAGTGAGTAAAATTTTATTTTATTTTTTTTTATGAATTATCGTTTCGAACACAAATCAAAAAAGTAATCGATATTAATTTTTTAAATTAACAATAAAATTTCGATAAAAATAAGTATATATGATAGTTTTTGATAATTTAGTTTTGAACTTAATAAAGGCTCTGGTATTGATATTTCATTGGAAATTAATTCTGGTTTTGTCGATTTTGTTAAAGTATCGATCCAATCAACATAACCACTTACTCGAGTATATATACCTAAAATCCAAAAAAACAAAAAAAAAAAATAATCAAAATAGAATTTGCATTGTTAAGCAAAAAATTATTAATGACATTTTTTTTGTTATTTGTTTGTTTCCTTGATGTTCTTTGTATTCCTCTATTCTCAAGTAATCAGACAATAGAAAATACAATTAGATTATTCTCAAAGGAAAGCTACTAGCACACACACATATACACAAAGAATTTGGCAATTTTCATACCCGGTTTCATAAATTTAGCACATCCTACACCAAATGAAACAAGTCCAATCAGTTCAAATACTCCATGTCCAATATCAATTACAAGTGGTCCACCAGAATCACCTTGACATGAATCTTTACCACCTTTATCATATCCTGCACATATTTGTTTTGATGGTTCAGTAACTTTTTCTTGACATCCTTTATTAGTTGTGATTGGTACTGCAACTTGCATTAATACTTGAGAAACATGACCTTGAAATTGTGTCGTACCCCATCCTACTACCCATCTAAAGGATAAGAATTGATTGATGTTTTCTTTTTTCTTATTTTATTTTATCATTCTAATCATACGTTTCTTTTCCTATTGATGGATAAGTTTCATCATTATTGATATGTTTTAATGGAAGACATATAAAACCAAATCGACTATTATTAAAATCAACTGTTTGATTAAGTTCAACAAGTGCTATATCATTTATATTCTTTCCATTGGTATTATATGCAGCATGACGTATAATATGTTTTGCTTTGGAAACAAAATATTTTTCTTGTATATTATGATGACCCATTGCAAAGGAATAATCTTTATTGTTACTTGGATGATACGAAGGAAAACAATGTGCAGCTGTTAATATATGTCGATTGCTTATTAGAACTCCACCTGAAAATAATATATTTATAAGCAAAGGTATTCGTTAGAGATGCAACTTTGCAAAATTAAAATTACTAATGTCCTGCAACTGTCTAGAGCGAGTTTTTATGAAATATAGCAAGACAATAGTTATTGCTCTACATTGATGTACATCGTGTCGCACAGTATATCCTTTAGCTTTCTGATTTTTTTTTCTCATACGGTTTGAGAGATATTCAATAATTGTTTTTTAATTAATTAATAGTTACATATATATATATATGTCTTTTTTTACATAACAAATGCATTCATTTTTTACCGCATATATGGCCACCATATTTTCGAACACTGACTATCCACTGAAAATAATATATTTATGTTTTTTTTTTTTTAAATAAAGAATTTCATTTTGTAAATTTACTGGCCAACTATGTGGTATCGCTTGTGTACCACCAACAATACGATGATGTGTTGATGGTGATGTTTGAGCACAACCACATTGTGTAGGTGACCATTGACATGAATGGATATGAGATATAAATAAAAATAAAAATTTAATAGTTAAATGGATTAGATGAGACATAGTTATTCTATTGATGTATTCTAATCTATTGAATAGATAATTAAAAGTGAATGATGATTCATCTTATCTTGTTAAGTACAAACTCGAATTAGATGTTTGATCATCTGAATACTTAAATTCGAGAGAAAACAAGATACTTAACCTTGAACAGCATATATTTATTTATTGTCTTGAAGATGAGTGATGACATTCATTTACGAACGAATGATTACTACTTAAGTACGCTATTGCATCCAATTAGATCAACATCAATAATATTGAAAAGTATTCGATTCTATCCGATAATACAATAAAAACAACAAAAAACAATAGATCAGATTTTGATTTCATGATCACAATCATTGCTATTACTGATATCAATATCATTTGAAAGTTTCAGAAACAGTAAGATACAGAATAGCCATTATGAAATTTCAAGAACACCAAATTTTTAGTATAATATGTGCTATCGTTACGCATAACTCTACGACGTTTTTTTCTCACTGAAGCACTTATTTCAATAGTTCTCTCATCAATGTTTCGTCTGGAATTACTATCCGAAATAAAGAATAAATAAAACAATGAGCCAAAAAAATGAAATTTTCGAAATAGATAGTCGACTCTAAGCTTCGTTTTTACGGTAAACATTGTAATACGAATAGAGCTAATGTTAGATATTTTTTGTCCATATCAATTCTGATGAAGGTTTTAATAGAAAAACAAACTGCAAAGGTTAAGGAATTATGCTATGATATGGAAGACGGCTAAAACTTGATATCAGGGGGTATTTGTTAACTGCTTAGATTTTGAAAAACTTTGAACAAGTATCCATTTCAGACTTGCGCTAGGCTATCTATCCATTATATTAGAGTTAAGAAACCATGTTGTTTTCAAAGTGGATTAAGATCACCTTTAATAATATTGGTATATAGTAGAAAAAAATCAAGTTGATTTTTTTCTTGAATTTATTAAAGACACCTTAGTATCCACTCTAGAGAGTGTTAAAAATTGCAAACCGTTCTCTCTTTTTGTTTTAAAGTTTTTTGAAAAAATACTCGTATCCATTTAACTCTGAAATGGAAATTACATAAGATAGCATACTAATAAATCGTTGATACTGCACGTTTAACTTGAAAACAATACTTTGATGAGCATATCTAAAACATATCGCTGGATATTAGTTCGAAGTCTTTTTCGAATAAAACTTTATGGTTAAATCAATTGATGCTCACCGAATATGTCAGAGATTACAGTTGTTTGAGTGAGTGTTTGTTATTCTATTAAACTTTTCGCTCACAAAAAAAGGCTTATCCGGAAAACAAAGTCGGAAGTTTTGCAAAACAAAGAATTCCATGAACATAGAATATGATCTTTGGAATGTGTTTTTAATTTCCGACATAACGAAATTTCTAAGTTAATATCGAAAATTTTCGGACCAAAGTAGACCCATGTCCTCAAAATCGCTAAAAAATCGATGACTTTATCGCGATTTATTAGGGCGATTAATCTACTGTTGCGTAATCAGTCTAGGCTTCCCATGAATAAAAAAGTAGAGAAAACAAGTGTTTTTTCAAGATTTTTCATGTCTATAGAACGAGTCTCTTCATTATCTGTTTACGTTCTCTGAGAACGACTTCATCGATTGGTATACCCTCGTGCTTACTGAGCGCGTTCCAACTCGCTTTTTATTACCGTAGAGCAGATTCGATCGGATGAATTTGTATTTTCGAAGCACAGAACATACAATTATACGATAGTTACGTATATATGACATTGTTGAATTTTCTACGTGTATTCAACAAAACTTTGTTACAACCACGAAAATGTTACTACGAGTAAAAGCTGGAAATATCATTTTCTATTCCTTTAAAATAAATATAAATACATTGTTTCTTATAATTTGCATTAAAAAATTCATTGGAATGATGTCAATTCATATTTAAAAATAAAAATTATTGTTATTTATATCTATGTTTAAAAATAAATATTTTTTTTTATAGTCTATATTTAAAAATGTGAATTATGAAAAAAATTATTTTTTATTCAATATATCTGTAAATTAAAATATAAAAATAAAGTGACACCCCTTAGTCATCTTTAATACGAATATATATTCCACTACTTTATCAAGATCGTTTTTTAGCAATATAATGAATCCATTGACCATGGAACTTATACCAGTAATTTCAAAAAGAAACAAATAAAATAATTTAAGGATAGGTGTGAGTGATAGAAGATTGACTTTCACTCTCAAACCGCATCCCACACCCAGGCCTATCCTTTTCCCAACACCATCTGAACTGCAGCAATCTAATTGAACTTGTCGGATTCGTTTTGGTCTCTGGTTCTTACTACAAAGTAAAACAGATGAGTAATTTATAAATTTCTATGGATGAAAAAAATTAATAAAATTTATTGTGAAGTGAGAATTTATATGAAAGAGAAGAGAAAAGAAAAAGTTGAGAATAATCTTCTTCTTTGGTTAACTGATTGTACGAATGTCCTTGAAAATGTCCTTAAATTAGTTGGGATGATTGAAAGAAGCTGCCTATGTATAACGATCGAAAACTAATCTTCGTTTGTATAGGTATTAAGCAATAAAAACTTCTGTTGAAATCAATCAAAGATTTGTGACACAAGCCAATCATTGTAATAGATTACGTAATTTAATATGATACAGTTCGACTAAACAAGAAGATATTAACAAGTTCATTTTTTTTTCTTTATCTAAGCTAATATACCTATAATTAATGGGTCAGAAAATTGTCTTCTAGCAAATATTATAAAACTTTAAAATATTTTTTTAGTGAAAATATCTGAAAATCAGCAGTTAGTTTAGACCAATCACAAATCTCAAAATAATCGACGATTTATGACGATAAATCTGCGTTACTCAGAAAATCGATGATTAACCGAACGTTTTTTCGTTGAAATCGCAATAAATCATCAAAACTTCGGCGATTTTGATGATATGGGGAATAAAGAAATTGGCTAGGTGTTCGTTTGTTGTATCCAAGCTTAAGTTTTAAGATTTTTCATGAAGAGGTCGCTACAGGCTTATCTAGGACGACGTTTTCTACCATTACTTGTCATTTTTTAAAAAATTCAAGAACGCAGTTCGATAGAGAATAATTTTTTCTATACACTGGTATCAAACTTATATCTAATTCCGTCAAAAAAGCAGTCATAGCGCATTTTCTAATTGATTCGCTTATTTGTCTCTTTATTTTCATTTATCCAATTACTTGATGAAATTCTTATGATTATTTTATCTATGGGATGCATTCTGCTTGCAACAAATTATCCTAATTTACATGCACTTGGTTTATATGATCTTGAACCAGAAACAGTTATTAGTCTCTTTTCTGGTAAGATATTTTCTTTTATATACTTATATTATAAAATAGTTTTGTTATTGATATTAATTGATGAATATCAATTTGATAAAAATTCAAAATAAAGACATTAGTTAAAATAAAATACACTGTAAAATAAAAGATTAAGATAAAAAATATAGTATGGATGGTAGACTATAATTTGTTCGAGAATTTAAATAAAGATCGTTTAAAATTGATTATTGATAAGGAAAAGAGAATAGCTTGCTTTAAGTTACTAAACAAAAGAAAAACTGAGAAATAATTTAATAAAAATTTTCAATGGTTATTTAGATGGATATTATTTAATTTGTCATTTTCAAAATCAAATTTTATCACTTTTTGTTATTATTGAAGAACGTGTGAAGCCAATAATGCTATCTACACCTATATTCATATTTATATTTACACAAATCTATACTATGTTCCAGAATTTTTCCATATCTATTAGAACTACATGTGGCGGTTGATTCTATTAGTGATTGCCTTTAATTACTTGATGGTCATTTCAATCGACTTCATATATTTTATGTTTTGATTTGTTCTCTTAGTTATCATGCGACTTCAGCAGATGATAATAAAGTAAGTTGCACATTACTATCTTCTTTTGAATGAATAGATAATACTTACGAATATTCATTAATTATCCTCTTGTTTTCTAGAACAAACTACTCAATTTAAAATGCTTTTCGTTAACCAAGGTCGATGATTCCGGTCAACGGATCCGGCCAGAACCCGCAGGAACCGTCGCCTTTTCCATCTAATGCCCGCCAGTTCCAGCATCATTCCTGCCTGAACCGGCCGGAAACAACAACGGAAAACACCGTAACCATCAGGGACCACACCGGAAACACACTGTATCCGATCATCTACAGTAGGAAATACCCTTCCACCAAAAAGATCTTTTTAGTTTCTCACATGTTCCAGTTCATGTTTATCCTCGAAAATACCTTAAAAATACGACACATTCGTAGAAAGATCACAAAACATCTTTTTCTATCAAAGTAGCAACAGGAGTCTCGAAAGGAGATTAACAATAGGGTAGAGTCTCGAAAATACCTTACAAAGAAGGTAAAGTCTCAAGAAGATGTTTAAAGATCTGCTTTTATTAAAGTAGCTCTAGGAGTGTTGAGAATACCTTTAAGAATCTGTTTTCATAAAAGCAGTCGTGCGTGTCCCGAAAATTTCTGGAAAACAAGGTAGAGGTTAAGAGCATTTTCAAAGATCTTTTTTATTTGAACAGTTGTAGGAACGTCAAAAATACCTTACAAGATAGGTACACTCTCGGAAAGATGTTTCAAGTGCTTTTTCGTTGAAATAGCTGCCACCGTCTCCAATATAATTAAGTCATAAGAAACTTTCAAAGAAAACATTTGAACGACCACAGCTAGGATGTGAAGCATTTTCTAAGAAGCTGGAGCTTGTCTAGCCAGAGTAGACGACAATGCATCAGATGCAGCGTTGCTTATGGCTGGAAAGATAAAACTAACCGGGCGATCCAGATTAGAAGTGCCCAACATTCTGGTTCCTCGTGTATTTGAGGTTCGCTTCAGTGTTCGCACTATATGCAGTCCGATTTTTGGAGATTGCGCAGATTAGCTTTTTTACATCGAGCTTTTCTGGGCAATTCTTCTATGCCCCACAGCT